TAACGGGTGATTTTTTTGAGGTTAGGATTTTCATGCATTAGTATTTGACAGATCACGTGGGATTTCAGACATGGTGTCAAAGAGAAAGATGCTCAGTATGCTTTGAAATTTCATCATGAATAGACTTACTAACGAGCAACGCTTGCAAATCATTGAATTTTATTACCAAAATCAGTGTTCGGTTCGAAATGTGTTTCGCGCTTTACGTCCGATTTATGGTCTACATAATCGACATAATCGATGGTTGAATGGCTTCGTAAATAAGCAAAATTGCCGCATTTGGAGTGAAGAGCAACCAGAAGCCGTTCAAGAACTGCCCATGCATCCCGAAAAATGCACTGTTTGGTGTGGTTTGTACGCTGGTGGAATCATTGGACCGTATTTTTTCAAAGATGCTGTTGGACGCAACGTTACGGTGAATGGCGATCGCTATCGTTCGATGCTAACAAACTTTTTGTTGCCAAAAATGGAAGAACTGAACTTGGTTGACATGTGGTTTCAACAAGATGGCGCTACATGCCACACAGCTCGCGATTCTATGGCCATTTTGAGGGAAAACTTCGGAGAACAATTCATCTCAAGAAATGGACCGGTAAGTTGGCCACCAAGATCATGCGATTTGACGCCTTTAGACTATTTTTTGTGGGGCTACGTCAAGTCTAAAGTCTACAGAAATAAGCCAGCAACTATTCCAGCTTTGGAAGACAACATTTCCGAAGAAATTCGGGCTATTCCGGCCGAAATGCTCGAAAAAGTTGCCCAAAATTGGACTTTCCGAATGGACCACCTAAGACGCAGCCGCGGTCAACATTTAAATGAAATTATCTTCAAAAAGTAAATGTCATGGACCAATCTAACGTTTCAAATAAAGAACCGATGAGATTTTGCAAATTTTATGCGTTTTTTTTAAAAAAAAAGTTATCAAGCTCTTAAAAAATCACCCGTTACCAACATCTGCAACAATGAATTCGTAGTTAGCATTTACAACTGCCATTAGTACAATGCTATGAAATTTTTTGTAGTTGTAATAATGTGAGCCAGAGGCAGGTGGTTTTTTGATTGCAATGTACTTGCCATCTATAGCACCAATGCAATTTGGAAAATTCCAATCATCACTGAACCTATCCGCTATCGCTTTCCACTCTTCTTCGGATTGCGGCACCTGGAAACGATAAAAAAATACAATAAATTCTTCTCTTTTCATTTCAGAATCTTTTGAGGGAAGCTGTATCTAAAGCGTCAAAAAGAAAGCTTGATGCTACTGAAGCTTTAGTGGAAATCGCTTCTAAACGTTTCGCGGGCAAGGAAAACTCGACATCAACAGCAATTACGAATTCTTGGGCGGTGAAACTGGATAGGATGGCTACTGAACAACGGATTCTCTGTGAAAAATTCGTTGAGGACATTATGTTCGAGGGCCAAATGGGAACGTTGACCCGGAACTCTGTTAAAATAAACGCAGCTGCTTCCCACCCAATCCCCGTAACTTTTAGCCGCACGAGTTCTCCTATAGTGCAATACTCCAGCACTTCTTCGACACCAGCCGGATATGAAAGCAATAGTATCACACCGGTTCATTTCAGCAGCAACGATTTTGTCGATGGCAATGTATCAACTCAATCGATATCTGATTTTTTTTCATCATTTACTGACTGATTAAAACCTCAATTCGCGTTCTTTTCAATTGAGTGAACTACAGTGCACTCGCCATAATATGAACATCCCAAAATATTAATACTTTTTCGCTTCATTGACTATTCTAAACCATGAACTTTTGGCTTAAGCTCTAAAATGAAGTTCATACTTTAGTTCATATTATCGCGACTGCACTGTATTTCAATAAAAGACTGAAAAATGTGAAAAGTAGTATTATTGTTCGACATAAAACTGTAGGTACCTTTATTTTTATATTTATTTTTACGAAGACTGAATATTTGTTTTAATTGAATAAAATTTAAATTACACCTTTTTCAGTTAAAAAAAATTCTGAATATCAAATGGAAGTTCTGAGTATTAATTTTCTGAATATAAACTGAAAAATGTGTAGCAGTTGAAAGTAGTATTATAGTTTGACAAAGAACTGTACTTTT